CGCAGCAGCTTTTACAAGAGCAGCCGCCTCCTGCCCCGGTGCTCCCAACGGCCGCCGCAGCTCTGGGACCCCAATTCCCCCTTTGCACAACAAGTGTGTGGTTTTTTCCCTCTGTTTACAGCATAAAACACCTTCTGCTGATTTTCTTCCCCCAGTTTAACAATATCTGGTGAAATAAGAGAGGAGCTGGAATGGTTTCCATGCTGGGCTGCTACTTTTTCGGCTTGTTTGAGGTGTTTCCTGCTTATTTTAAGGGAAGCAGCTGTAACAAGCAAGGCTACTTCTGCGCCTGCAGTTTCTTGTCCTCGCCAGCCCTTGACAGGGGGGCGTCTGGGACCATCCAGCCATACCTGTCCTGCCTGGGGGAAAGCACATCAGTGACTCTCTGGGAAACGGACTGAAAAATACCTGTAACCAGGGAAGAGTTCAAGCTCTTTTGGTGTCAAGTTCCTGAATCCCAGGACGATGTTCTTCCAAGACGGGTCCTGCAGTAGGCAAAAAGGTCCGAGCTCATTAATGAACCCGAATCGTTGTGCCATCGTGGGACAGAGGCCGTGGGGGGGGACACAGCCCACCCCAAAGGAGCGCGGGCGGGCATGCAGCTGTGGCACACCACGGCCAGGGAGGCTCTGCCAGCTCCCACCCTCGGAGGGCTCAGCCCTTACTTCATACCAATATTGCATCACAGGACCCAGAAAACACCAAGTCCCGGGCAAACTGTCACAAGACAAACTTGGAAGGATTCAGAAGCATTCAGAGCATCGTCTGGGAAGAAGTACAACCCTGCCCACCCCCGGGCAGCCTCCGAGCTGGAGCCCTTCCCAGCCCTGGCTGTGACTTTCTCCTTACCGGCACCGGCTGCGTAAACAGGTTGTAGCCAGAAATTAGGAAAAGTCCCATTTCCTTCGCTGCCGGGGAGCCCAGGTGCCCGAGGAGGTAATCGAATGTCTCTTTATTCCAGAGCCTGCGATGAAAACAGGAGGGTGGTGGCTCTGCCAGCCCCATGGAGCTGTGCCCGGGCAGCTCAGCCCCTCGTGCACCGATGGGCATGCCGGGGGGCACACAGCACCAGCCTCCTCCTCCTCCTCCTCCTCCTCCACTTTGTCATGCTATTGTCTCCTGTAGCTTCCTCGTCCTCCTTCTCCTTCTCCTTCTCCTTCTTCTCTGCTGTATGATTT